TTATCGATCTGGCGCCGGCGTACAGAGCCCTTCGTAGTCACCTCCAGTCGTGCGACGTCGGTCGATGATTGGGTCTACGTGCCTTATAACTGCCGCTTGTCCTGTTTCTGCCACTACCTCTGACGATGGACTCCTGTACGGGTCTGAAAGCTCAGGATAATAAACGAATTGTTCCGGTGCTCGACTCTTCTTCTTCTTCTTCTTCTTCTTCAAATATACTTATAGTCATTTCAGTAATCCGTTAGATCAGGCTTCGGCATTCCGGGCTGTTTTTCAGCTGGTGAGTATCCAGTTGTATCTTCAACACACTCACGGTAGGGGAATTAACGACATAAGCCGGCAAAGAGTTCCATTGGCGAATGACCCTCTTTGAGCAAAAGGAGGAACGTTGATTTGTGTGGCACAGTTCCCTTTTAAGCTGGTAATCATGTCGTCTGAGATTGGACTTGGGTGCCATTTCAAAAAACGTTTCCCAATCGACATCCAGATTAAGTCCTTTTACCAATTGGAACGTTGCTATGAGGTCACCTCTGTCCTGCCTGTAATGGAGGGAATAGCTGTTCAAGGTCTTCAGGCGCTGCTCGTACGTAGAATTTTTGAGGCCATGAACAGCCCTTTTAGCACGCCGTTGTACACCTTCAAGGATATATATATATACCCTTCGAAGCCACAGCCGCCATACCTGTACCGCATATTCCAGGTGCGGCCGCACAAATGTCCCATATACTTTGCCAAAGACATCTGCATTCAAGTGAATAAACGTTCTGCGTATCGCGCTCATGACTGACATTGGCCGCGCTGCGACTTTAGAACACAGCGCGGCGACGCTTAGATCGTCTTTAATGAATACACCGAGATCTTTTTGCACATCTACGGTCTTAAGTGGTTGATTGTCCAGGAGATACTGTCGTGAGGGTGCACTTGTTCTTCGCCTCGCTGATACTACGTGCATTACTGCACATTTTTGGCGTTGAATGCCATGCACCATTTCTCGCTCCATGCATGCAAATTCTCTACGTCCTCTTGTATTATCTTGACGTCATCTTCATCTTTTATCGTTCTCCAAAGTTTAAGATCGTCTGAAAAGAGCGCTATGTCCGATTTCACTTCCCGTACTAGGTCATTTACATAGACAATGAATAGGAGCGGCCCAAGAACTGACCCCTGTGGGAGTCCACTTTTAACAGGTGCCCATTCTGAGCAGTAGCCACTCGCAGTGACTTTTTGTCTACGAGCATTTAGGAAATCCTGAATCCAGCTCAGAAGATTTCCTCTTATCCCTACTCCCGACAACTTTTGAACGAGGCGCTTACGTGGGACACAATCAAAAGCCTTGCTAAAGTCGAAGTAAATGACATCCACTGGATGTCCTTCATCCATGGCCTTTGACCAATGTTCGAGGGACGTAAGCAGGTTTGTTAGGCAGGACCTCACTTCACAGAAGCCGTGTTGAATTGAAGTGATGTGACAGCGGAATGGATCGAGTGATGTAATTGATTTTTTGACTAAGTTTTCCATCAGTTTGTAGCAAATGCATGTCAGACTCACCGGTCAGTAGTTGGTGGGACATAGCCGTTATCCTCCCTTGTGGATAGGTACGACGTTTGCCAACTTCCACGCGTCTGGTTGTTTGCCAGCTTCTAACAATCTTTGGAAAATTATACAGGGAGCTTCTGCTAATTCTTCAGCTGGCTGACGTAGGAATACACCTGAGATCTCATCTGGTTCAGGTGATTTGGCCGGATCCAGCCTGTTTAACCCTGCTAAAACTGACTGCGGTGTAAAAAATACTGTGCTTATAAGTGGTTGGTTGACGAGCTGTGGAAGAGAACAGGACTGGAGCGGTGGTGCCGTGGTATAGACACTTTGGAAAAACTCGGAAAGAAGCTCGGCGTTTTGAAAGCCATCGCTCACAGTTTGGTTACTTTTGTCCTTTAAGGTTGCCAGATGGTCCCGGTTTTTCGTATTGCTCCTGATATATGCATAGAATGCTTTAGGTTTTTGCTGCGCCTCTTCCAGGATCTTCAGTTCATAAGAAGCTCGTACTTCTCGAATGAGTCTTTTGCATAAGGTTCGTTGTTGTCTGAATTCTTGAAGTTTTTATGGGCTCCCCGTTTGTAAGAAGATTTTCCACAGCTTGCGTTTTTTCGGATTCCCAACAATTATAGTAACATTTCGATATTTATTTTATCTGCTCCGTGTCGTATTTATAGTAGCAGCACGGTGTATAAAAGTATGCAGGGCAGACGAAAATCGCCCCAATATAAATAGAAAGGGTAAAATGTTCCAGTAAAGAGCTTTTACAGGGGTAATTCTGTGTAGTCGCAAAACCCGTCGCTGGCACCCTTCATGGACTTCAATTTTCCTCCATGTATAGATCTTATGTCTGGCTCGGTCCGCAAACAAATAAAACCCATCTGCAAATATAAGACCACCCGAGTACTCACTACTTAAGTAAATGCTTTCCAGGACTGTGCTTTTTGGAAGTCGGCAGACGCAAAATACAGAACCTATTTTTGGCGGTCGACTGAGTCCTGCAGCGTATTCCAAGGACGCCGTAAAACAGCGGACTCCACTATCAAAAGCCGCAGTAACTTTGGAATAAAAGTTCTCTCGACACGCAAGAAACTCTATGCTCACGATTGGGCTTGTCCTTCCTCCTTCGAGTTCATAGTCGCTCACTGGTCCCACAGCATGTGGCCTTATGCGAGTTTTATTCTTGATACCTTCCTATTCGTGAAGTCGAACGAGTAAGATGTGGTTTTATAGCCCCACCTGACGGACACAATACTGTTGGGATTGGGGTTAAGGCAACTATTTCTCAACCACTTAAAGTACAACCGCGCATTCCCAAAAGCATTTCTTTTGCATACAACTAGGCCTCGTCGCCTGTGCGTTCCTCGGCCCCACCTGTGAAAACCCCTATTACCACCGGTCCCCTATTACAGGCGACTGGAGTTTATTTACTTCAAGTGGGGCTACATAACCGCATCTGACTGTCGAACGGCATCACCTTTGCCTTAGTCAGCCGCATGTCGGAGCATGTGAAAATGGGAAAGCTACATCGAGTTCTCGTGACATGGTTTTGGAATGCAAATAAACCGGGTATTTTACTAGTTGTCATACTGCATACTACAATAGATCTTAAAAGATATGTCTCTCGAAAGTTGCCCAAGGTTTCTAGACATTATTTTACTTTGAATAGCATTACCGAAAAAGACAAAGGATAATATTCGCGCTTTCCACTTCTCCGCTCTTCATTAGAACACCGTTATTTCCCGGCGACGTAATACTACTCTTTGCGTCGTCGTTTATCTGAAGAGCATTCACTTTCGATCTCGTGTGTTGATCGATTTATTTATTAATTTCCGAATTAAAAGTAGTTTTCGTAGATTTACGCATATTTCACGAGTAACGTCACCTACTGTGTTTAATGTGGAGGTAGGGGCTACTACCAAGTGGAGGGTAACGTTCGAGATGGATTTGGGTTGCAGGCTGAATGGACGCATGAGTCACCTGATTACTGGTCTAAACTTTTAGATCCGGGCAACAGCAACAAAGCAAGCTGCTACGGTGAGGGACTTTAGCCAATCAACAACCACTACTCCTATACTGGCAGCTGCTGTGATTGGTTAGGGATGCGAGAGAGCGCCAAATATGCGGGTTGACGGCATTATCACCAGGAGTCCAGAAATCAATTGACTCAGGACTTGTCTTGCCCCTAACTCCGTGCATTACCTCCACAGCTGAGAAGATTAACTCTTGACCCGTTTCGTGTGAGGGGTAGGAAATTCAGACAATTATTCTCCGGTTGCAGAAGTATTTTTACCCATATTTCATGATCCCAGTTATATTTGGCCTAAACTGGGCAGCTGACACGCCGAATATAATGTACTAGGCCAGATTGTTCACCGGGCGTTCAGTCTGTCTGTAGTCTTCATTGCAAAGTGTTGGAAGTGGGCCAGTATGCAAGTCCAACGCCCACTTCCTTGACAATCCATTCAGCTGCCTCGGAAACATTCTCCATTTATAATACAACAGTTCATGCCTTCCGTGCATTCTTTGGCGGCGGATACGAAGGCTATTCGGCAAATACTCTGCATAAATTAGTTAAAAACATGTCGGGTTCGCCAGCTTTCTGGGTCGGGTTGCTGTGATGGGTCTGAATCAATTTGAAGCGTCTTCTCACAGCTCTGCTCCCCATCAAAATGGATCGTGGAAGCCGAGAGTTCGGTGGACAAAGAGGTCTCCCCTGACGAGCGCACAAAGGCAGCGCTTGCTCATCCACTTCTCGAAATCATGTCGGAGAAGATTTCTTTGCACAGGTCTTAAAAGTTTCGTAGCATCTTAACACTGATAATAAAAAGCATGTCGTCGACGTAACGGCGCCGAAAGCGGATTTCAGTTGACTAACGGCGTTCTTTCTGGCTTCCACAGAACCAGTTCTTTCATTAAGCCAGGTATTTCGGAGTCCATCCGACTCTGGAATTGATTTCCGATAGAGTGAACATGTTTTCTGACAAAATCCGAAAAGCTCTCGTAGATGCTCACATTTGGATGACCGTCGTGTCTTGCCACATTATACGCCTGGGTGTTTGTGCGCGACTTCGTGTATAACGTCTGGGGTATGGTAGCCCTTCTAGGTTCGGGCTCATGCCGTGTCAATTGGGATTCGTGTCGCCCCTCATTCTTCTTGTTATGTAAAATCCTGGTCAGGGTCTGTTGTTGACCAGAAGCAAAGTTATACGCCTAGGTGTAGGTTTCCGTCGTGCCAGCCATCTGCAGTATCTCCCGCCTCCAGTTTTTGTCTTGACACCGGATCCAGTTGGGGAAGGAGGAGAGAGTGCGGTAGATGCTGCACAAATCCACTACAACTTTAAACTAACTCGCGCACATTTCATCGTCCCTACTGCCACCCTGCTGGTGCATTTGACGCTCAGCTTTATGGTATTCTTTTTCCGTCACAATAACGGCTACTAGTGCTACAGCCAGACACACAAGCTTTAGATCATTCTTTAGGACATAGAGGTGTCCAGTTATGGGTCCATGTGACGATCGTAGCAGGTCGCTTACTTGCTTGCAGGTGTAGACTACGCCTGGCGTCCATTTACCGACACCCAACTATCACATGTGGCTCCCCTAAGCTAGGCTCTGCCTAGCGACCACACCCATATAACCGCCTCGATCGGTGGACTAAACAAGTTGAGGGTATCCCTGTGTGCATCTCCGCACACGGTAACTCGGCTCCACTCCCACCATCGATGGTCGGATGGATCACCGCCCCGGCATCTCCAGGATGCGGCCCCGCCCGCCAAACCGTAGAAGGTCACAAGGTAAGTGAGTCCTCAGGTAAGCGGACGTTGTCCTTTGCTTGTACTTGGTCCTGTCTGCTTGCTTTCTGTCTGCTTGTATGCGTTTGTCCTTGTAGAAGACTAAATGCTGTTTTGTTAAAGTTTCTGTTTTGCCTTTGCTCTTTGCTATTCTTGCCTGCGTACTTTTGTCTGATTGTTTGTCTGTCCTTTTTGTAAGCTAGATGCCGTTCTGATGAATTTGTCTGCTTACCGTTTATATTTCAGTAGCCAGTTAGTTTAGAAGGGAACGAGAAGCTCTGCACCCCGTCTCTCTACTCTTCCCCCTCCCCCTTCAAGCTTCCGGCGATGTTGTAGGCGGTCCCAGGCTAACTCGGGTCGCTCTCCCACTAAACAAAAGTCGTGACCCATAGTGGAGCTTGGCAGCTGCCTGGAACAACTGAGTAGCCCTACTAAGGGATAGCACTGCTCACCGCGAGGAGAAAGGAGCTAGAAAAGGCGCCCTAAACAAATGTTGGGAACGCACGCCGTCCGCAGGCTGACCGTGGTCGCAAACGCAAAACTCATGGTCGAAACACTCAAACCAGAAACAACACACTCTCTCTTCCCCCTCCTCCTCCTCCTCCCGCCGTCCCACTCTCCAGACTGGTGGGATGAGTCCGCTCACTCTGGCAGCCTGGAATTTTCATTCCCTTTTATACAATCTGAGGAGCAACCGACCGGAATGGAGGACGGCGCTGGTGGCTCGTGAACCGGCGGACTACAAGGCTGGCATCACTGCACTTAGTGAGATCCGGTTCTCCAAACAAGGCCAACTGGGTGAGGTGGGTGCCGGCTACAACTTCTTCTGGAGCGGTCGGCCCAAGGCAGAGGGAGGGGACACGGGCGTCGCTTTGTCATTCGGAACATTGGGGGACGACTGCCCTGTCTGCCGCAGGGCATCAGCGATCGCCTGATGAGCCTCCGCCTGCCTCTTCGGGGAGGCGAATTCGCCACCATCATCAGTGTCTACGTTCTGCCGATGGTCAACCACGACGCCGCAAGGGACAAATTCTACGAGGACCTGCGAGCCTTCCTGGCGTCTGTGCTGAAGGCGGATAAGTTGGCTGTCCTTGGTGACTTCAACATTCGCGCCGGCACTGACCTTTCCTGCTCACCATCTCCATTTCAGCAATGAGTTAGCTCAATGGCTAGCCAGTCTTTCAGTCGCTGCCGCTGCCGCCGCTGACGAGAGCGCCTCCGTAGAGAACGGATGGTGTTAACTGCGGGACGCAGTCCAGTCGACGACCCTGGCTGTCCTCGGTCGCGCACGTCGCCAACATCAAGACTGGTTCGATAACGACGACACCGCCATCAGTACCCTGCTCGTCGAGAAGAACCGCCTGCACAAAGCCTACGTCACTCGAGAAGAAGAAGTGCCTCAAGATCTGAAGTACGCTACAATCATGCATCTATACAAGCGGAAAGGAAACCGCCAAATCTGCAACAATCACGGAGACATCTCTCTGCTGAACATCGCCGGGAAAATCTTCGCTCGCATCCTCCTCAACCGCCTAAACCACCATATAGAACAAGGTCTCCTGCCGGAAAGCCATTGCGGATTCCGCTGTCATTGTGGGACCACGGACATGATCTTCGCCGACCGTCAGCTTCAGGAGAAATGTCAAGAGATGTGGGCCAACCTCTACTCTACATTCGTGGATCTGACGAAAGCCTTTGACACGGTGAATAACGAAGGACTGTGGAAATTCGTGCAGAAATTCGGCTGCCCCGAACGATTCGCCCAGATGGCGCGTCAGCTTCATGATTGCATGATGGCGCGGGTTACGGACAGTGAAGCTGTCTCGGAGGCATTCGCAGCAACCAATGGAGTGAGGCAGGACTGCGCCCTTGCGCCTACCCTCTTCGGTCTCATGTTCTCTGCATGCTGATGGACGCCTACCGTGACGAACGCACTGGAATCCACATCGCCGAGAGAACGCACGGCCAACTCCTTAACTACCGGCGGATGCTCTTTAAGTCGCATGCACCCACAACTACCGTTCATGAACTTCTCTTCACCGACGCCTGCACCCTCAACGTCACCCCGGAAGGGGACATGCAAAGGAACATGGACTTCTTCGCCGCCGCCTGCGACAACTTCGACCTGATTATCAACACAGAGAAAACGGTGGTCATAATTTAACCGCCACCCGAGGTTGCCTACGTCGCACTCCAAATCAGCCTGAACGGCGCCCAACAGCTAGCCGTAGACAACTTCACATACCTGGGCAGCGCCCTCACCCGCACCATCAAAATCGACGATGAAGTGGCCCACCTGATTTCCAAAGTCAGCTCAGCCTTCGGCCGTTTGCAAAGCACAATCTGCTATCGCCGCGGTTTCCATCTCAACATCAAACTGAAAATGTGCAAGGCGGTCATCTGGCCGACGCTGCTGTATGAAGTGGAGACCTGGACGATGTACAAGAAACAGGCTCGAGGACTCAAGCATTTCCACCACAGCTGTCTTCGACGGATACTGAAGAAGAGATCACAGGACCAGATCCCAGACAAGGATGTACTGGAGGGGACGGGAATACTCGGCATCTACGCCATACTGCGACGGCTTCAACTGCGTTGGAGCGGCCACCACGTACGCATGGGCGATGAGCAGCTACCCAAACGACTCCTCTATGGAGATGTCGCCACGGGTTCACACCGACATGGAGGCCAAGTTCGTCGCTACAAGGACACTCGGAAGACTTCCCTGAAGCGTCTGCAGATCAACCCGGCCATCTGGAAGACCTCGCCCGACACCGACCGACCTGGAGGAGGACAATGAAGACAGGCGTAGCAATCTTCAAAGCCAACAGCATCACCGCCGCCATAGACAAACGCAAGGCTTGCAAATCCCAAATGTGCCCACCTCGCAACGCCAACGCTCAGCCACACCCGACATACCTATGCTGCCAGCGGACGTTCCGGGCACCAATCGGCTTTTCAGGACATCTTCGTACCAACTGCAGCACCGGGGCTAAGCCAGCTGCTGTCTCCTCGTCCAAATCTGACTCATCCTCCACGCCGACAACTAACACTAGCCGCACACCCAACCCCCCGCTACCATCCTCCTCCTCCTCCTCCATTGGCTCAACTTTGCTACGGCGGCTCCTGTATCCACCACCACCACACCCAATCCTGACACACCAACAAACACCAACCTCCCCCCTCCTCCAACAACGCCGGCGATGTGAACTCGATCCATACCTGTCCTCATTGCGACCGCAATTTCGTCCCGCACATCGGCCTGGTCGGTCACTTGCGAAGCCATCGCACAGAGACTGGCAAACCAGTGCCTTGAGCACCAACCTACACTTACCACATTCGCCTCCACTGTCCACGTTGCCCCTGCAAAGTCATCCACCGCATGGGTCTACTCAGTCATATTCGTATCCACGAGAGCGAATTAACCGCAGTCTCGACACAGCTAGCGCCTCCTGCACATCCACCACGCCTAGCTCAACCCACACCCCGTCACCCAGCGCGTCCACCATCAGCAGCTCCACCACTGCCACCATCTTCGAAACCGACACCAACACCGCCGACTTTTCCTGTCCATGTCGGGATGGTATTGTCGACAAGACAGCGGTTCCCAAATCAGAATTCAGGGAAGACGGATTGGGTTGGACGACTTTTACTGCTGAGGGGGTGTGTGCACAAAGGCTCCGCGAACAGTCACCGGGAGCGGTTTCTTCAGGCAAGTTGTGTTGTCTGTATCCGCCGTTGAGGTGCCTAGACCCCAGCACGTGTGTGCCTTTCGCTTTGTCTTAGTGTCGCCAGCCAATCAGGGAAGGGACAGCGTTGATTGACCTCGGGTGCTCGCGAGGGTGGTAACAAGCCACGCGCGTCGCAGCAACCACTCGACAGGGAGCGTGAGGCGGACTGGAGGGCGGCGTGACAAAGTGATGGAGATCTAGGAGGCGCGGACTGCAACATCCACACTGCCACCGTACATTCACCTCACAACTGGGCCTGGTCGGTCACTTGTGAATGCATCACACAGAGACTGATGAACCAGTGTCTGGAGCCCCAGCATCCACCTCAACTGTCCTCATTGCACACGCGCATTCACCCAACGTATGGGCCTACTAGGTCACGTTCGCATTTGCGAAAACCTGTGGTAGACAACCGCCGGATAAACCACACCATCACATCTTCCCCCACCTACATCACACATCATCCACCACAAGAATCCAACTGCCCCCTCCCACGCAAGTGGGAAGTGTGCGTCTCGGCTCCGTCTCCATGTGATCCATCTACTACATGTGTAGTTCGGGTTTGAGGTTATCACGGCGCGTTTACAGCACAATACCCATAAACATGAGGTATTTATCTATGAATTTAAATAGCGTAGGAAATTACCTTGATATCAGGGAAAGTTAGATTTCGCCCAATTCTCCTTCAATAAAACTGAATTGAAATGAATGCCTCTTCAGTAAATGGCTTTCTGTGCCTCAAACCAATTCAAAAACACAAACAACAACACTAAAAGTATGAAATTTTTTCCATTCAAATCTCGACCGCCGCATTTCATGATTTACACCACTTATAGTATGTGCTAACTTGTTGGCGTTACAACTCTGTACGCACTGATAAACACTACTTTGTCCATCTAATTGTTTACCCTGCGTCTTGCACTTGTTTAAGCGAACCATCCACACAGTAAAATTGCTTTGAGCCCTATGAAGAGATTTTATGAGAGTGCCTAGAATACGTTAGGGTGCACAGAATACGTGACTTGCACTTTTAGTAGTACCTTGCCGCCGACGTCTAACAGTGCGCCAGCGCACCAATGGGTAGGTTTGTAAATTTAGTCACAAAATCCTCCTACTCATTTCGTTAGGGTAGCGTGGTGTTTGTAGATGAAGAATTTCACACATTTTTCGGCGGTGGGTGGGCGCGGGTCACTTTGACCAGTGACCTTCCCACGCTAATAATACAATCAGCTGGCGAATGGTCCAAATACTTAGGTCAGTTCTACAGGACTCCCACCTTTTTGTAGTCAGTTCATGAACTTGAAAGTTACCGTGGCATAAGAGAGAGGCCTTTTACCAGCATACTTGTCTGAATTTAATAAGAGGCCTCTCCGAAATCCAGGACCTTACTCGTGAATTTTCAGTTGTACGGTAAATATAACCCGTTGTCAGCCCAGTTGACTATGCGAAATGGATTTCGCAGGCTGCAAAACGAAGAATTAAAGAATATACACGGGCTTATTTTCTCGCCAAAACAATTTATATCTGAGGGCTGTTGACGCCATCTGTATAAGAGTGGGCGAATGAGCCACGATGCAATGACGTGTGCAGTTATTTTATTCTTTACTTTCACTTTTAACAAGTGTTTTTAGTGCACCAAAACAAAAAGGTTTGTATCACTAAAGTACTCCCCCTTTTTGGGAAACGATTTCGAAAGTGGAGCATAGGAGCGAAAATACTAGGAATAAGCTACAAGTTGGCGACAAACAGAAAAACGAAGAAGGTTAAAAAGGACGCGCAGGGTCTTCAGGTATCACTGACGACGGGAAACTCGTAGGAGTCGCTATGGCAGCTAGTGAAGGGTGGTCGGCATAAACCATCTTCAAGAGATCACCTAAAACCACCGTTGCGCGATCGTCACGAGGAATCAGTGGCACGCTGCAGGATACAGAAAAGTCCATCATGGGGAAGTTGTGATGTCTTGTTAGCCCTATCGACACGTAAAAACACGGAATAACAGCTCAGCGAGTTAAGCCATATATGATATACCGTAACGCGTGGAGGGATTACTCGGAGACTAGGCACTGCTTGAACGCCGTCAGTGGTATTCACAGGGGTTCAGTTTGGGCTCAACCTGAAAAAGTCCTCAGGATTCCGTAAGGTACTACCGTAGACGAATTCGGCAGCGAAATATTCCAAATCGAGTTTAGGACACCGATCGTGACAAGGGGCAGATGCCCACTTCGATGAGTGGGTTTGTCCTAGTTTCGGTGCCAGAATTGGATTTAGCGGCAGAAGAGCTCAAGTAAGCGGTAAGGCAAGGAGTGTTATGCTGTCCTGAGCGTGCATGAACATCCGAATGCGTCAGTTAGACACTCAAAATGTCTGGATTAAAATTTTTGGTCTCCTTCAGTGATGACTGCTGGGGGAAACCCTAATAAGACCTTCAGGGCTTCAGAAGGGCGCCCACAAGCGTTACCTGCAGTTATTTCTGCAATGATCATTCTATGCGATGACCAACAATAGCTAGCGAATAAATGCAATCATTGAACTTTTGAAAAAAAGGCATATAATATACTAGCTGGGCCCGGCCACGCGTTGCTGTGGCTCAGGTGGATTCAAAATCTCGGTTTAAAAATCAACCTGCCTCATTTGCTTCCACAGCAGTGTCGATGGACGTATATGTGACTGCCCCGCTTTGAATCTTAGACTGAATAATATGGTTAAGATCGTACACACGTTTGTTTTGGCCGCAAGCATAGCTCGTTCGCTCAATCAGTCGTGATTGTTGAAAGTGGTCTGAATAGTGGAAGACACCTTTTCAACCAATTCCTCTTTTGTGGACACTAAATTGCCGAGGCTAAGACGTAGGGAAATCCTTCTTGTAGTCGGATCACCGGGCACCGTAGCATTCCCAATTGCCAGCAATTACTGTGAGAATACCTCAGCTGATCGGTAGTTTTGCAGCTGGACACGCATATTTGTAGTTAATTTTGCCGTCTGGATTTTGCGCCACAATGAAAAGTATTTCAGGCAGGCATTTATTTCTTCTCCTGTTGCCGATGGAGGAATTACAGGCAGTGTTTGCCTGAAGTCTCCTGCAAGCAGTAGCAGTAATGTCTCCAAATGATCTGTTGTTTCCGCGCACATCTTGCAGTGTTCGATCGAATGCCTCGAGCGCTTTTTTTGCTCAAGGAACAGCAGAAGATCGGTTTGATGAGGACATTCCCGGTTGATAAAGAACTTTTTTCGCGACATCTTACGTACATATCCCCAATCACTATTAACGCCTCGTTGTAGATTCCTGCTCTGAAATCCGCATTTGGAATTTTCCATGCGTAGTCGTCGGAAGATACCCTCAGCCATGTGCGATTTAGATTTCTCCCATAAATTTGTTGGAGATGAAGTAGAGCAGGCGGTCAGTAAGATTGCAAACAATGAACGAATTCGATGTGGATGGGACGTGTTGCACGCACCACTAATGCATACATCCCAGTATTGGTAGTATACCAATAAATTGAGCGCTTGGCATGCACTACGGAAAGTGACGTGCGTAACGCCGTTGACAGATTTCAATTGCGGGAAAGACGTTGGAGAGGACACATTCACCAACATCATGCGGAGTAAGAAGCATTCGTCCTGATTGGGATGCATGCTGTGCAGTCTGCCTATCGCAGTTCTTTTGAATATGCCAAGGTGTCCGTCGACTCGCTCTTGCTTGTGTAGAAAAAAGATTTTCTGCAGGCATTCCCTGTGTAATACGTAGGCACTTCCGGATACGGCAGTGCTTTTGCAAACGCGTCAGTTGGGCTCAACGGGAGGACGCAGTTAATGTGTGTTGCCGGTGGCCAGTTGCACATTTGCATCGATAAAGTAAACGCATTGCCCATTCACCAAGTGTACTGCAAGTGAACAACACCTGGACTTGCTCATGGAGGGGAAAAGAAAGAATCCACCACACGGCTTTGTGGCTGTTGAAGCATCTTCCAGCCAAATACTGTGCGATGTCATCCAGTTGTATGTCCACAACCCTTTCCTTCCATTCGTGTTGCAGGCCAAAATCAGCCATGATGCTGCCTTTGCTCACGTA